CGATTGCATTCTGTCCTCGCTACTCACCTCCAATTGTAGAATGGACAACTGGAGAGTAGCTGTGCTAGGCGACGGCGGTGTGGGCAAAACAGCGCTAGCTGTCCAGGTGCGCCCACCCCTTGTCATAAACATGATTGAACTTGCAAATTAACGCTTTTTCACCTAGTTTACCCTCAACTCTTTCGTTGGTAAGCTTTTAACCTCTCATTTCTATTGTACAACGATCAACCGAGTATTGTCTTTCATCAGAGGTACTCCTCTCACTTATCGTTCTCCAATACTCTCTAATGGATCTGTAGACGTACGATCCCACGATTGAAGACGCGTACCGGAAGCAGTTGGTGGTAGACAATAGGATGTGTTTTGTAGAGGTCATTGACACCGCTGGACAGGGTGCGCGTTCTTTCTGCCCCTGATACTTCTCATTACTCACCAAACACCAGAGGAATATGCCACGTTGCGTGATCAGTGGGTCCGGTGAGTCATATTAGTACGCCTTGTTACCCTAGCTTATGGGTGTTCAGAGAGGGGCAAGGATTTATCTTAGTTTATTCCGTCACCTCTCGGTCGACATTCAATCGGCTTGAGGTTTTCCGCCAGTCCATGTGCCGAGTCAAGCGGGTTGACCCCGTGTTCATTCTTGTGGGCAACAAGTGTGACAAGACCTATGAGCGAGAGGTGTCAAAGGAGGAAGGTGCTGCAATGGCGCGGCGCTTTGGCTGTGAATTCATTGAGACCTCAGCCAAGACAGCGCAGAACTGGCAAGCAAAAGCATGCAGCAGCTCCTCCCTTTGGCCTCACGCGGGCCTGTCGCCTGCCAGGCAGCGGTCAGTCGAGCCGTTAGTGATCGATCAGAACTCCTGTCGCTGTATCGCGCTGACAGTGCCCCCTTTAACTGTTAGCTCTGCAATCTGCTCCTTCAAGACTTGGGGGTGCCGCGCTACACCGAAGGTGATACTTCCCTGCGCAAGACTGTCGACTCCCTCGCTCAGATGAACTATGACGACAAGCGCAAGTTGCTCGTACAAGTCGTACGTTCCAACACAGCACTCCATTTTCGTGCTTGGAGAGGTTGACATTAAGTGCAGTGTCAACATCCGAGGCCAGCCCTTTGGTCAACGACAGCCACAGATACTCTCGAGTACGTCTGCGGTGTGGTTGTGCGTGTCCTAAACGGCGAAATACCATCTCGAGGTGAGTCTCCCTCGGGAGCCTCCATTCTATCTTTTTCATTATAGTCGCCAACGTCACGCTCATACTTTTGCGTTATTTCATCTATTCCACGTTGGTTCTGCATACCTCGCGTGCTGCTCCTCAATCCTTCTTCGCATCCCATTTTTCCGCATGCCCGATTTATATTCACCTCGGAGATCGTTTGAGCGGCGATGTGCTCTCTGCGTTCACCTCTTCTGTTCTATTTTCCTCGCTGGACTTTACAGGTTCATCACCATTACAAACCCGCCAACGGACCTCCACTTGAACACCATCGCCTGGCCGTCATCAATACCCCTGTCAAGTGAAACCCACCTATTGTAGGATTTTAGTCAAATCCCGATCTCAGATATACGTTGACCCTCATCCCCAGCCCAAAATCTCCATCTTCGTCGAATCTTTATCTTCAAAGCATCTCAAGCTCTATATGCACCATCCCCGAAAGTGGGTCACTCCATTGACGAGAGGTGGAAAGTACCAGGTGACTGCTAAATTAGGTGTCGTAATGTTGTTATATTGAGATGGGGACGTGATTCGTGAAGGATCCCAACTTGGGCACAGAAAATTGCGGCTTGCGTAGATGTTACATGTTCATGCATTCTCGACCTCGTAAATATGAGAGCGCTCAAGAAATGTAGTATTTATAATATATACCTGTCCTGCCAAATCCGCCAGACCCGTCAGACCCGCCAAACCCGCGGAAACCTGTACCCTTACCCGCGGAAACCCCTACCCCTGGTTGCGGGTTCATGGGTGAGTTTTGCGACGCATCGTTCGCCATAAAGAGAAGAGAAAGAACATCACGCCGACTTTAAGTAATTATAAGTTGCAGGTATTAGGTAAGGATCGTTACGCCTTCCGTCACACAATGTCACATTATGTGACTGACAATCATCGCGTCTATTGTGTTTGTGCTTATCACTTTAGATGTTCACTATGTCAAATCGTTCGCTGACGCCTCCTGAACGCTCAGATACACACACGCAGCTGGTGGACGCAGAAGATCCTCCGACCGACTCGGAGGCAGAACGGCAATCAACCCCCACGCAGCGGAAGCGACGCCTGGACCATGACGACCAACCTTATATTCCCGATGTTCAACGCAACGTCAAAGATCAGACGCCCAAGAAGAGGAAGACCGCGTCCACCTTGGCATCCTATGTCAAGTCAAATGTGATTCGGGAAGCTGTGGCTGTCCACGGGGCGCCAACAGAGGGTCATCAACCCAAGTGCCTCATCTCCGGTGTCAGCGACAAAATGACAATCCTCGAGTTCTCCCATGTCATGGGTGGCTCCACACCTTCAAAAGAGGTGATTGAGATCCTTTTTCTGGGGCCAACGTAATCTTACTTGATCGACAACAGATGGATTGTTTGGAATGGTCTTGGAATAGGAAGTACTACAGTCTGAATGTTGACACGAGGAAGAACCTCCAAATTAGTGGGTGATCGTCTTACTACTGCTTCGACTTACTCATGTTCTGCTCAGTACGTGTCACTCTCCACCGCTGGTTCGACATGACAAAAGCGTCCAACCCGGTCGGCTGGTTTTGGCTCCCGGTTGACCTTGATATCCTCAGTAATATGCATGCCACCTACGTCGGCAATGTTTTTATCTTCCCTGTCCTCCCTGAAGCAAGAGACAAAATGAATGTACGGAAGGACCCAGAGTCTGTGTGTGCATTTCCACCCTGGCTAGAAGAACGAATACTGACCATCGTTAGTTCTACGGAAGATCTTGCAAGTTCCGCTATCAACTTATCCCTCTTTCTGGTATGGAGGCCTCGTGGTCAATCAAACGTTATACCGGCAACGCTCTTGGCCCATTCGATCCCAATCTCATAGAGCACAGCGCGTACCCCTTCACCAACCTCCTGCCCATTGAGCTCCATGTCCCGTACCACTTTGTCATCGTCAACACTGGCAAGAAACTCCGCCAACTATACGGCATGGATGCAATCAACTTTATGCCCTACGGGGGGAAGGATGAGGGAGGCCAAGCTCAAGATGATGCTGCCGGCTCATTTGGTGCGATGGGGCAACAACAGGCTGCTGACGAGTCCCTCGCACCTTGGGACTCAGCTTCTTGTCTCAAGGCTTTTGAGCCTAAGGATGGGGGAGGCCAGGCTCAAGATGACGCATGCGGCTCTTTTGGTGCGATGATGGGACAACAACAGGCCGCTGCCGAGTCCCTCACACCTTGGGAATCGGCTTCTTGCCTCAAGGCTTTCGAGCTTGCCGATGAAGGGAACGAGGAGGATGTGGACGATTCGTTTGTGGATGACGAGGACGACGAGTATGAGGACGAGGAGTTCTTTGAGGGCTTGAAGCAGTGGGCGAGCGATGTATGGACCGCGACACATTCTGACAGCGCGTCTGATTCAGAGGTGACCCTGGTCGGAGGGACCGCGGCACATGTTTCCTGCAAGAGTCTAGACGTGCCAGCGACTTTGGAAACACCACCGCTTCTTTCCGTCCAGTGACTGATGACTGTTCAGTTATCGACGTACAACCTTGTTTTTCTGTTATATGACTGCTGTGAGGCACCTTGTCAAGTGTTTGTCTAACACTATTCCCCAATTTATACTCGGCATTCCTCTTGATGGACACTGGACTTTATTGGTCTTGTCTCCGAATTTGACACCGTAGAGTTTGAAATGGACCCGATTTCCATCCTATGAGTGCCGTCAATGCCCACAACTTTGAATCACGTCACCTCGCCATCGCAAAACGCAACGCACAACTTTAACATCTTCAATAGTGCCATATTTGTTCAACCGCTCTCTGCAAAGCTTCTACATAGTGTGCAATTGAAGCAAGCGATGGGAGAACCTCCAAAGTCAGATGAACCTGTACTTTTGGCGGATGGACAGGACCTGAACCCCAAGCATAAACACCGTTGAGAATGAGTGCTTTCCCTTTTGGTCAGAAGCTGCTTAGCGACATTTAGATATTAGATTAAACCTATAACCAACTAATTAATATCCAATCTACGTTCCGCAGTCAAACATTGACTGTACCTTTTTTCGACATGGTTGAATCTTGAATCCCATGCCCCCAATTTCTGGTTCTTTGAAAATCCGATACGGACCCAGGTTAATCTAATCTCATCACCCAACTGACTGCAAATACGTGATGAAACCTCATCAGGAAAACTACACATCGACTTAGGCCGCTTAGGTAACTTTGACAAGTGCAGAAGTGGCGAAAGTGAACTCAAGTGACCAAATGACGGTCACTTGGCTATGTAGGTCCCTGTCTTACAAAGTGACTTGGTCTTGGGTAAGTGAGACTCAAGTGGGTAAGCTGTATTGCACAAAAGTGACCAAGTGACAAAGTAGTAGTCTCAAACTGTTCCGAATTGCACACAGGATGGTAAAAGTGGGGTAAAAGAGTATATTGAATGATACAAATGTCTATTTACAATGTACCAGCTCAAGGAACACGTAGAAAACCCCCCGTCTCACTCTTCAGCCTCACTGTCCTCTTCAAACAAAGATCCTCACACATTGAGGGGAGAAGCATTGGCACCTTGGGTGAGCGAAACGGATAGCGGTTTCTCCATGAGCCCGATTGCGTGTCAATTTGTTGATAGACTTGATGTAGTCCACGGTGCTGACGGCCCAGTTGTCTTCCGAGAAATTTGCCTCTTCCTTACAAACCAGGATGCCGGCAGTAGAAACCCCCGTGACCTGGAACCTGAACGCGCGCTCCGCCTGCACGAAAATATGATCATGCAGAAGGGAAGGGAAGAGGAGACGTACCCAACTGTTGAATAGGCATAGCGAAAACGGCGGTGGAATTCTCCATCTGGGTGCGAATGAGCTAAATTTGGGCACGACGAAGACCGCGGTAGGATTCTCCATATGTGCATGGTGGAAGGTGGTGTAGATGTAAGCGAGGAGGTGGTACCTGGGTAGGGTAAAGTCGTGAGAAGGAGACGGGCAGGGAAGAAGGGAACAAACCATTACTGTCGCTACAGTTCAGGATCGTCTTGTAACATCCCTGCCCCTCACTAATCGCCGTAAGCGCCTGTATAACCCTCAACCCCAACTTCCTTCCCTGCACGTTCTTATTCACCGCAATATCCTCTATGTGGCCTACCTTACCAAGGCCTCTGAGACACTTTTGCTCAATAAAGACACAGCCGACGGCAACAATCTGGTCGGTGGGTTTGTGGATTATGACGACGGTGAAGTACTTCGAGTAAGTGAAGGGAGAGCGGCGGTGCTTGTCAAAGGCCGCTGAGTATGCCTCCACACCTGGATTGGACAGAGAGAACTGACAGGTGCGGCGAGCACATGTAGTCTGTCTTGGCTAGAGGACGTATCTGCGTGAGGGTCAGTGTGCCGTGCAGGGCTCGCTGAGCAATGACGAACGTGCAGATCAGGCCCGAGCTGGGATTTGACATTGGCGGGAATGAGTTCTGGGTCAAAGAGGAGCTCAAGGTCAGCATTATGGTTTGTTTTCCACGTCGGCGAGCGAGCAGGCACAAACTGCACTGGGATTTGGTGAGGGCAGATTGGAGACCGTATCAGTTGCTAGTTATGATGAACGTTGAAGAGAAAAAGCGATGGTGAAAATTTCAACATCGTCACATGTCGTCGGACTTCGAATGGACTTATGAATAATTTCTAACGTGTTTGAGCACCCCGACGACTTTTGGGCACTTATGACTTACTGAGGTGGATGACTTGGATCCCACTTGGACTCACTTTGAGTTTGAAAGGAGGTTGTGGCTGTAACTTGAAGTGCCGAAGTGATTGAAGTGATTTCAAAGTGATCTTTCAAGTGAGTAAGTTCGAGAAGTGATGTGTAGTTTTCCTGATGCTGTGCATGACAAGACGGATATCATATTACTTGGCCAACCCGGAAAGAAAAGTCTGCCATTCACGAAAACACAGTTCTGTCTTGGTTCTGTCCATATAGCTTAAGTTGCTAAGAAACGCTTGCCTCGTGCCACGCAAACACGACTCCTGGCAGATAAATGTGTTCCAAGCGTCTCCCAACTCATTTCATGTTTCGGTGCTGTTGAACTCCATGCAATTGGAGCTGTATCCCTTGCTAAGTTTCTACAATTTTGGTTACGAGCTACGCTAACACACTTGCGACTAGTACTTCGGAACTTCTGATCCGGACATACAATTTTTGTGCGTCTATCAAGCTTTGGACTCTCTTGACAGCGTCGCCCTTAAGATGATTTTTTTAGTAAGCCAACCAAAAGCCAACTTTCACCAGTTTTTTTTACGATCCACGTTTATATCGGCTTCACCCCGGTCCCATGAATTATATCATTCACTGGGAAGACATTAATTTACAGCATTCAGGCTAGCTCTCTTTCCATAAATACTGGAGGGTACGTTCCATCCCTGCACTCGGCAGTGTGCGCGAACCACTGGTATATCAAACCTTTTCCCCTTCCGCGTGTTTGCAAGTCATGGGCTTCTTCTCGTGGTCTGATGAAGACTTGATGGTAGATCGAGTTTTCTTACATGAGGTCACTTATTCTATGCATCGAAAGAGCTACCAAATCATGATTCCGATCCAATCTCGCCAACATGTGAGAGTCATTCATCGGAATTGACACTGCAGCACTCGTCTTGCACCAATGTTTGGGGGGTCTGTCCAGTCGCTTTCCTCTGGAACATTCTCGGTTCCGTGATTGAAAAAAATCCGCTTGACCCTCACCGCGACACCTGGGTTGGTTGCCTTCCTTACTCCGGCTATACACTACGACCCTTTGGAACGCCTCCTTCAATGTTTCGATCGTCGCAGCCTCAATGCAGCTGCAGGTATGGTACCTGTGGGTCCGACGGATATCTGGGAAACACGGGTGCTGTGGAACTCTGAAGACCGAAATGTACCCTCGATTGGATATCAACAAGGAGGTGGGTAATTACTAGCATGCGCTGATTTTCTCCTTGACCCCTGCGACGTGGGTTTCGTTGGTGATCGCGAGGATCCCGTCTGCGTTGAGGGACACGTCGCCAACGAAAATCTGGCCAGCCTCCCATGGCATATCCGGGTGATATCATTGATTCCATGCGAGGCGGGTACCGTCCGGAGAGAACTTGGGCAACGCGTAGAAATCGGCGCCGGAAATTAGAGGATGGATGGATTTCCCCTTGGTATTGATGATACATAACGAGGTTACGATTCCAGAAGGGGTGTCGTCTGTATGATGGAAACGAGGAGATGGGTGTGTACGGGTGAGGCTCGAAATTGGCGTATCGATAAGGGACTTTGTCTCAATATCTGAATGTCAATAAAGATATCTGTGAGGACGTTATGATAACTCACCTGG